TCATGAATACTTTTCATGAAAACATCCACATCCCTGTCATTATCCCTAAAAATAGCCCAGCACCTCCTGCTAATTTTTCCCTTCAAAACGTCACTGCACCTTGAAGCTGCAAGGCATTATAGATTGAATTTAGGTGCCCCCCCCACCCCAAAAGACTGAATTTAGGCATACTCCCAACCCCCCCAGGCACCAAAAGATATGTTGAGGTCCTAACCCAGGGAACCTGTGAACTTCACTGGAAATAGGGTCTCTGTGGATGTAATTAGTTAACAGGAGGTCATCCCAGCACTTAGGGAGGCCGAGGCAGGAGGATCACTTGAGGTCAGGAGTTCGAGACCAGCCAGGACAACATGGCGAAACCCCGTCTCTACCAAAAATGCAAAAACTAGCCAGGTATGGTGGTATGTGCCTGTAATTCCCGCTACATGGGAGGCTGAGGCAAGAGAATCACTTAAACTTGGGAGGCGGTAGTTGCAGTGAGCTGAGATCACGCCCTGCATTCCAGCCTGGGCAACAGAGACTCTGTCTGAACACAAGAGAAGGTCATAATGGAGTAGGGTAGACCCTAAGTCCAATCTGACTGGAGGAGAAGAGACACAGACCTACAGGAGAAGACATGAAGTGGAAACAGACACACAGGGACAAGGAGGCCATGTGACCACAGGGGCAGAGCCTGGGGTGACGCAGCTGCCAGTGAGGGAATATCACGGATCACCGGCCACCAGCAGAAGCTGAAAGCGAGGCACAGAGTCTCCCTCTGAGTCCCCAAGAAGGAATCAATCCCGTTAACGCCTTAATTCTGGACTTCTGGTCTCCAGAACTGTGAGAATAAATTTTGGTTGCTTTAAGCCGCCAGTTTGTGGTTTTTGGTTAGAGCAGTCCTGAGAGGAATGAAACCTGGCATTACTGTCTATCCAATGCCTGGATTCTCTTGCCCAGTGGTCTGCTAGCCAGGCTAGGTTAGACCGTCTCTAGTAAAACCATTCTCCAATAAACAAGGTCATTTCTGATATTGTTATGAAGAAAATAAAATACTGTAATATGACAGAGTGAGTGGGCAGGACCAGAAGAAAAAGGAACAATTATTTTGACTATTAGGGAAGGTCTCACTGAGGATATAATATTACAGCAGTGACCTGAACGGCAGGAAGCTGGCCATGGAAATGGGAGGAACAGCCCGTGCAAAGGCCCTGAGGCACAGTCATCTCGGCACTCAAGGCCCAGGAAGAAGGTGGAAGCTTCGTGAATGACAGTGGCAGTCAATGAGGCTGGAGAAACAGGCAGGGTCAGTCAGCACCTGCACAGCTGGCCTGATTGACCAAGATCCTGGGATGCTGCTGGGGAAAGACACGATTTAACTCAGAGTTTCTAAACGATCACTCGGGCATGATCACGTTCTTAAAACTGAAGTCTGGGGTGCAGTGGCATAATCTCAGTTCATGGCAATCTCCACCTCCAGGGCTCAAGTGATCCTCCCAGCTCAGCCTCCCTAGTAGTTGGCATTACAGGTTTGCACCACCATGCCTGGCTAATTTTTGTCTTATTTTTGGCAGAGACGGGGTTTTCCCACGTTGCCCAGGTTGGTCTTGAACTCCTGAGCTCAAGCAATCCGCCCTCCTGGGTCCCCAGAGAGTGCTGGTATTCCAGGTACAGCCACCACGCCCGACCAAGGCCAAGTCTTTCTATTACTTTTGTCCTTTGGTTCCTGGAACCTTGGGACTCTACAGAATGAGCTTAATAAGTCACAGTTCCTAAGCTTCTCCAGGCTTCCTACATCTACTTCATTCAGCACTGTAGCGGTTTCCAATGAATATGCTTATTTTTTTTCTACACCCTTCATGACATGTGATGTTCAGAAAAGAACACAACATTCTAAGCGTGGAGTAGCCGGGAACTATCACCTGTTTCATCCAGGCCTACACGTCTGGTTCCTGTGCCGGGATTACCACGGCTTCCCACTATTTCCTACCACTAATGTGCCAAAACATCTATCAGCCAACCTTCCCCTGAAGCTCTGTTTTTGATGCTCTGATTTTTAGAAAGTGGGATTAAAACTTGTCCTTTCCTCATGAGAACAGCTATGCTTTTTTTTTTTTTTTTTTTTGAGAGGGGAGTCTTTGTCACCCAGGCTGGAGTACAGTGATGTGGTCTTGGCTCACTGCAACTCTGCCTCCGGAGTTCAAGTGATTCTCCTGCCTCAGCCTCCCATGTAGCTGGGATTACAGATGTGCGCCACCATGCCCAACTAATTTTTATATTTTTAGTAGAGACAGGGTTTCACCATGTTGCCCAAGCTGGTCTCAAACTCCTGACCTCAGGTAATCCACCTGCCTCAGCCTCCCAAACTGCTGGGATTACAGGTAGGTGAGAGCCACCGCACTGGCTCTATGTCTTATTTTTAAGTGTCACCATGACCCATACAATGCCACATAGAAAAAATGGTTTAGAATAAACAAAGCTACTGGGTCAGCTCGCTTGGTTTCACAACCACTGCATTTCTCTTTCGGGTGGAGGACAAGAAAAATGATTGTAGCAGGCTTCACGAGAATGGCCACGCTCTCTTGCCTCACACAGCTGAAGACACCTAGGCTATTTGGAAACACAGAGCACTTAAGCAAAAGACACTCTTAGCAATTACACTTCCTACTAGATTTCTCAAGGACCTCTAAATAAATCTGAGTCCGTGCAGAGGACCTCAAGCTCAGGGCAGGGGCTGGAGTGACGCAGCCGACTCCGTAAGCCGGGCAGGTGGTGGAAGAGAAGGATGTTTTGCAAGCCTCTAGGAAAGCCCCGGGACCCCTGGTGTGAGGCGCGATCTACCTGGACCCACCCCACTTTCCATTCCGCAGAGTGGCAAGGGCTGCTATATCCAGTGTCAGCCGGCCGTGTTAAACACTTCACTGTGCTCCAGTAGCTAAGCGACCCCATTTCACTCAGCCTCAGTTTCCTCATCTGTAACACGGGAACGATAACACACCCATCATTGCCAAGCTTATGATGAAGATCAACCAAGAGTCTGCGATGGAAAGCCCCTGTGAGGTATGAAAGTGGGGGTGATTATGGGCAATAGAGCTTTTACTCCCGCCTTTCCGTGTCTCTCCTGATGTTGGCTGCCTTCTCATGACTTTTTTTTAAAAGAATTGCCCCAGGCTGTTTTTGGTGTTTCTTTTAACCTGATTACTTTTGCTTTAGGAGAGAAAGGAGAGAGGAGGTGGGAGGAGAGAGAGGCACACAGCATGACTCATCCCACCCCAAACCTTTCCTGGAGACTGTCCTAAAACATGCTCCTCAGAGCCACTGGGGCTATTATAAAGCAATTCACTTTTGAAGAAGAAGTTATTATCATGAAAGGAGACCCACGTCTAATATCTGCGGAGATCCTCCACTTACTGAGGTTCTGCAGCAAACGATTTAAGGCTTGTGATTTACTCAGTCACTGAGTGGCTTCTCACTGCCTTTGGCTGTTACATCTCAAATAATGCAAACCAACCTTCACACTAACTGACACGTCCCATACAAAAGGCAAACAGAGCCAGAAACGTCAGAATGTAACAGAGGCTAGTGATGATCTGATCGCTAAGGCTGCCTACATGTCAGTCCCACGCCATCTTCATCTCTTTAGTGGAAAAAGAAAATCTCATGAGTCAACTTTTTCATTGCAAACCAATCTCAATAGCCTTTCGTCCTGTGCTTCAAAGGCATAAGCAGTCCTATTTCTGAACAAAGTGGAAATAAAAACAAATGACAGCCAAAGAGAGACACTGAACAATGGAGAACATACCCTTCCCAGGAGAACTGGGGGGAGACAGGAAGGAACGCTCAAATGCGATATAATCCAAACCTTCTTCCTTTGCACCATACAGTGTTAAGCATGTCTCTGCCCGGCTTTTAGGTTGAGGGTGGGGGTAGCTTTTAAGGAAATCAATCCGAAACATCAACATCAAGTCGCAGCCTGGCTAAAGCAGCCTCGGCCCTGACAGCTGTCAGCCTGCCTCTAACACTGACTCACCACAGCCACACTACCTCCACGTCAGGGACGCCTCACCTGGGCCAGCTCAGCAGAGAGTTCCTGCTCAATCTGCAGGCTGGGACTCATGCCTGGCCCTTACCTAGAGAGGAAGAGGAGCTGGCCAGTGCCCCTGCGAAGTCTTTTTCTCCTCTTCCCCTTTTCATCTTCCGAAGTCTAATCAACCTGCAACCCAGGGAAGCACAAACCAAGGACAGGGGTGGGAAGGGTGGGAGGGCACGCACCCAGCTCCAGAACACTCAATTCTGTCCTTTCCAAGATCCTGGAAACGGGCTCTATTCCACCTCAGCCAGCTGTCCTACACTGAACTGCTAAAACCACATTTTCACTGCTATCCTCCCCTTTGCTTACCGGCCCATCAAGAGGAGAGGGAAGAGGCAGAATGGACGGGGGAGGTCACCCGGGCCAGGAAGCCCCTTTCTGTCACCTCCCCCCCACCCCCGCCAGCCCCGGGAGCAATGAGGCAGCAACTTCACACCCCGCACACACGCACGACTCCCCAATGTTTCTCTCCCCTGGGTCCCTGCACCCTCTCCCCAGCTTGCCCTTGCAGGAGTCCGGGGTTTCTTCTTTCCCCAAGGCTGGGACACCAGCTTCATCCCAAAGCCACCTGCTGCCACCACCTGCCCCGGGGCTGGGGGCGCCTCCTCCAGGCGGCGGCCCGGGCTGCACTCATTCCCAGACGTCTGCACTGCCTCTCCGCCCGTGGGCTCCCGGCCCCCTTACCCTCTTCCCTTTGCGTCCCAGCAGGCGAGGAGCCAGCGGAGACCCCCGATCCGAGCCCCGGGCCCGCGAGGCCCCGCCCCCGACGCCCGGCGAACCCCTCCTCCCTCCCCGGGCTCCCCGCCCTACGGCGCTCCCAGCTGTCACCCCTCGCAGACCCCCGCCCCGGGTCTCCGTCATCCCTCCCGAGTCATCGTTCCTCTCACGAGCCTGTCAGGCCAGCCCGAGGCCGCCCCACCGCCCCTCTCACCGCGGGCGGACCGGACAGCGAACCGGTGCCGTCGGACTCCGCGGCTGCAGCTACTGCGCCGCCCGCGAGCAGCCGGGTCTTTTCCTGGCGCCGCGGCGTGGGCTGTCAGTCAGCCGCACGCTCCCGCCTCCAGTCCCTTCTGCGCAGGCGCGAGACGAGCCCTCCTCGCAGGGGGGCGGCCCGCAGTGGGCGTCACGTGAAGGGGCGGAGCCTGCGCGGCCCGAGGGCTGCCCCGCCCCGTGGGAGCGCGCTCTGCGACTCCGGGATCCTCCTTGCTGGCTCGTCTAGAAGCTGGCTGTTGTCCGGCTACTGGAAGAGTGGGTGGGGCAGGCCCCGTGCGCACAGGTGAGTTAGTTATTCCGTGATTTTGTTGCGGGTAAGGGAAGCGCCAGCAGGGAGGTAGGAAATACCGTCTGATTTTAGTTGCTTCCCAGCCCTGGGTTTCCCTACCTTTAAAACAAGCGTGTCACTTGCCCGCCCTATCCCCTAGTTCCAGTGAAAGCATGACATTAACCAACATACCTTTAAAATTAGTCCGGCGAGGCTTTGAGCTGGAGCTAAAAAGAATAATAATAAAATATAAAAAATTTAAAACAATTTAAAAAGAGATTTAAAAAAGAAAAAAGTCTGGGCCAGGCGCGGTGGCTGACACCTGTAATCCCAGCACTTTGGGAGGCCGAGGCGGGTGGATCACGAGGTCAAGAGATCGAGACCATCCTGATCAACATGGTGAAACCCCGTCTCTACTAAAAATACAAAAAAATTAGCCGGGCATGGTGGCGCGTGTCTGTAATCCCAGCTACTCAGGAGGCTGAGGCAGGAGAATTGCCTGAACCCAGGAGGCGGAGGTTGCGGTGAGCCGAGATCGCGCCATTGCACTCCAGCCTGGGTAACAAAAGCGAAACTCCGTCTCAAAAAAAAAAAAAAAAAAAAAAAAAAAAAAAAAAAGTCTGGCGAGGATGCAGGTTATGGAAGAGCAATTGGAGGCCAATTTACTTTTTAAAACGGGGCGTCTTCGAGACTGGTAGATTCCATCTCAGCTTCTCCATAAATTCTAGGCCAGTCTGCATTTTTTCAGCAAATACAATAAATACAACGTTCAGGCCATTCAGTTTCTTCTGTCTCTTCAATTAAAAGAAAAAAAAAGTTTTTAAAGTATAAGTGCTGCCTTTGGATGCCTTTTTCGTTGTAGCGAAGTATAGAAACAAACTGCCAGCCCCTCCCTGTAATTTGGGGATTATGACATACTTGACTCCAGCACCTACCAAAGTAGAGAATCTGGTTCTGGAGTGTTGGCTCTGACACCTTAGATTTTCTGGAGACATTTGTACAACCACATTCCAGTGCTGTAATGTCCACCAGGTAGCTCTTTAAATGAAACGATGAAGCCTTCTCTCTAAAGAAATGCAGTGATACCTGAAATAGGGCTGAATGTCAATTTTAGAAAACGGTGGGTTTTCTGAAGTTATGGGAGTTATGCAGGACAAACAAGTTCTACCACTTAAATGATGACATATGGATTGATCAAGTATCTGTCCCATGCCCCAAGCAGAAGTGATAGTCCTTGGAAAGCTGGAGACTTGAACTGTAGACTCCTTGGGAAAGTTTAAGGGAACACATGAAGAAGACAGCTGGGAGCTGCAGTACCATTATGGTTATGGAGCCTTCAGTGCCATAGCTCCTTCTGGTTCATTCTGGATTTGCCTGACCAACTGGACGTGGCCACCATGCACGTGAAGCTGGAACTCAGGGTGTTTCCAGTTTGGAAACCTTATGTCGATGCTACAGATAAGTGGGTATGCTTTTGGTCTCTGCAGGGTTCTGCCCTTAGTTCAGGCAGGATGCAAGTGCCATCTTGCAGAATTCATGAGAATGGAAGAGGATGGTTGCTGCGGCTGAAGGAATTCCTCCCCTGAATCAGCAAGTGAACCTAGCACAAGGCACCGACTTGTGCCATCCTGACCTGACCTTGCATTACCAGCTGTTCGGGAGAAGTGAAAAAAGATCACTCATTTAGAGTCAGATTCTATTTTAGGGGAACATCATGCAGACCCTCTCCTGACCGTGTAGAAGGTTTTCTGACCTTTTCAGAAGGTTAGAGAGAGGTAGATGACATGACCATTTTTTAAAAGAGGAAGAGAGTGAGTTCTGCAAACCACAGATCAGTGAACTTGACATTGGGCCTGGAAAATCTTCAGGACAGATGACTTAACAAAAAAAATATTTGTGACTTCTCCAAAGAGGAAACACCAGAGACAAAGACCAAGTCACACTAGTTTAACCTTATTTCTTGCTGTGAATTATATAAACTGGTATATCAAGGAAATATGCTGGAAATATGCATCTGGACCCAGAAGGTGTATTTCCCAGGATTCTTTCAACTATAAGTGATGGAAACTCAATTCAAACTAGGAGGCCGAAAGCTTGTGGATCACCTGAGGTCAGGAGTTCGAGACTAGCCTGGCCAACATGGTGAAAGCCTGTCTCTACTAAAAACACAAAAAAGTTAACCGGCATGGTGGTGGGCACCTGTAATCCCAGCTACTTGGGAGACTGAGGCAGGAGACTCGCTTGAACCCGGGAAGTGGAGGTTGCAGTGAGCAGAGATCGCGTCAGTGCACTCCAGCTTGGGCAACAAGAGCGAAACTCAAAAAAAACCATAAATAAATAAAAATAATAAATAAGTCAACAAGCTACCGGCCGATTTCTTGTATATTTTTTATGATTCTGTTTACATTGTATATTTTTGAGAGTCTGTGCACATAGGAACATATATAAAACATGTAATCCACAACTTTTTTTTTTTTTTTTTTTTGAGACGGAGTTTTGCTCTTGTTACCCAGGCTGAAGTGCGATGGTGCGATCTCGGCTCACCGCAGCCTCCGCCTCCTGGGTTCAGGCAAGTCTCCTGCCTCAGCATCCTGAGTAGCTGGGACTACAGGCACGCGCCACCATGCCCAGCTAATTTTTTTTTGTATTTTTAGTAGAGACGGGGTTTCACCATGTTGACCAGGATGGTCTCGATCTCTTGACCTCGTGATCCACCCGCCTCGGCCTCCCAAAGTGCTGGGATTACAGGCTTGAGCCACTGCGCCCGGCTATTCTTTTTTGCATAAATACACAGTTCTATATAATAGACTCAACATACCTTGAGGATGTCGATTCATAAAAAACGGTCTCATTTTCTTTTTACAGTTGCAGACACAGTATTCCATTTGAGTCCAACATATTAGGACTTTAATATATTGATGGGCATAGAGGGTCAGGCCACTTGTTCACTTCTACAAGCATGCCACAGGAATTCCTCCTACACATAGACTCACCCATCTGCACAAAGATGTTTGCATCTGGGATTTCCAAAGAGAGGAACTCCTGCGTCAAGGGGCATGTGCACTTAGACTTTTGTGACTCGCGATGCCAACTTACTCTGCAAAGGGTGCAACAGACGTGCAATTGTACCAATTTGGTTTGCCCTGCAAACACAGCATACCTGTATTACCAAATCTTGACCCATCTGCTAGTGAAGAATGGTATTTAGGGCTAGGCACAGGGGCTCATGCCTATAATCCCAGCACTTTGGCAGGCCAAGGTGGGTGGATCACCTGAAGTCAGGAGTTCGAGACCAGCCTGGCCAACATGGTGAAAACCCATCTCTACTAAAAACACAAAAATTAGCCAGGCATGGTGGTTAGACCCTGTAATCCCAGCTAATTGGGAGGCTAAGACACAAGAATTACTTGAACCCAGGAGGCAGAGGTTGCAGTGAGCCAAGATTACACCAGCCTGGATGACAGAATGAGACTCTGTCTCAAAAAAAAAGGTATTTATTTCCTTATATGTTAAATTTGTATTCAATCCTTTCTGAATGTGGCTGAGTATCTTTTCACATATTTGAATAAAGCTTCTACTTTAATTTTTTTCTTTTTTGAGACAGGTTCTCTATTGCCCAAGCTGGAGTACAGTGGTGCAATCTTCGCTCATTGCAACTTCCGCCTCCTGGGTTCAAGTGATTCTCCTGTCTCACCCTCTGGAATAACGGGGACTACAGGCACGTGCCACCACATCCAGCTACTTTTTTTTTTTTTTTTCTTTTCCTTTTTTTTACTTAGCCCTGCCTAAGCAGGACAGCAAAAAATTTGGTTATAAACTCATAATTGTTCCTCTCCATGGAAATCTTTAGTAAAAGGTGAAAGACTTACTCGTTATGAAGAGAAACCAGAGGATAATTTTTGCTTTTTTAATACAGATGGGGTTTCACCATGTTGGCCAGGCTAGTCTCGAACTCCTGGCCTCAAGTGAGATGCCTGCCTTAGCCTCCCAAAATGCTAGGATTACAGAGCCTCTACTTTAAATCAGTTTATTTCCTGGGATGAGGGTTTAGCTGGAAACAGCTCCTGAAGATTTGGTTTTTGCCTGAGGGAGAAAATTAATCCTGTAAATGGGACATTCTGCATCTCTACACCACTAGATTTTTCTGCTACTAGGCCTTGAGTGAAATCAGAGAGAGGCAAAAACAAAGAAACAAAAAAACACAAACTCTGTTAAATCAGTCTTTAAACAGGAAGAAACCTTAGAAATCAAGTCTAGGCTGGGCGTGGTGGCTCACGCCTGTAATCGCAGTACTTTGGGAGGTCAAGGCGGGTGGATCATGTGAGGTTGGGAGTTCGAGACCAGGCTGGCCAACATGATAAAACCCCGTCTCTACTAAAAAAATACAAAAAATTAGCTGGATGTGGTGGCAGGCGCCTGTAATCCCAGCTACTTGGGAGGCCAACATGATAAAACCCCGTCTCTACTAAAAAAATACAAAAAATTAGCTGGATGTGGTGGCAGGCGCCTGTAATCCCAGCTACTTGGGAGGCTAAGGCAGGAGAATCGCTTGAACCTGGGAGGTGGAGGCTGCAGTGAGCTGAGATCATACCACTGCACTCCAGCCTGGGAAACAACAGCAAAACTCTGCCTCAAAAAAAAAAAAAAAAAAAAAAAAATCAAGTGTAATCTCATATGGTAGAGATTATTTTTGTGTAAAGCCAAGGCATAGGGAGGGAAATGACTTGCAGAGATCACATATCACTTCTGCTGAGAAACAGATGGAGATCCTTGATAACAATGGAATTATTTT